CGTCCGTCAACAGCCGATTCCGCGTGAGCTCACTACGCTGTTAGATAATAGTACGTACAATAGTCTGTGGTCAAGAAGCTGGCTGGTATAGAGCTGCTTCACAGTTTTTGTTTTTTTAGAACGGGTGATAACGGAGCGAAAGGGGAAAAGAGTTCTGAACGTTTCCGACTATACGACGATGGTTATGAGTAGATCGATCCACAAAGCCTCCTTCTAATATAGGAATTACTATCTGAATGCGAACACGGCAAGGTTAAGTTATAAGCTCCCGTCTATACCGTCAACATATCGGCACGGATGAACACTGTTCAAGTTAATAGGCAATCCAAGGAAACGAAAATTTGACAAAGATGACGTCTATTGGAAATAATAAAAGCACGGGTAAACTGCTCCTAAAGTTGCGTGAATTGGCCTTAATTTAAGGCAAAGATTACTGATTGAGTAACCATACCCTCATTAGGGTTCTAAGTAACCCCTCAAGCATATGTTGTACTGACTGCTGCCGTACGCAAATCTGAGGTGGATATCTCGGAATTCCTTATGTGTCTTTAGCAGATACACAGGTTCTTAAATTTCCCCAGAAACCAATGTGAGAGTTTGAGGCAATTTGTTCAGTACAAATCTTTTAGGACTTGTTTGAAAGCTACTATGCAGGTTTGAGTTGAAATCGATCAGTCTCACCTGCGTAACTACGTACAATTCACGTCCTGTTCAATGGAAGTCAGTATGTTATAATTACTGTTAAAGTCACGATAGTTAAAAAGGGCATTGGCAAAAAAGCCATGGTAAATGTTCCGCTGATATTGTGTTGCTGCTTGAGGCAACAGCAAGGAGTTCGGCCCATGAGTGTGTCCCTCAGCACTTACCATGCACTTTCGAGTAAATATTTCAATTTTTATTCCATAAAGACCGGTCAGACCTGATAGTATTTCCACTGAAGATTTAATTCAAGTTCGGAAGAAGGTGCGATCGCTGACACATGGCGTTTATTGGTTTAATGTTTCGGATTCTCGTTCAAACGCAGAAAAAATCGCAGTTTAGTATTATGAGGGCGACAGGGGCGCAGTAGTTATAAGACGCAACGGCAGTGCAGCTGCGTGCCTAAACTATCACTGTTTTTGATGATGGGTTCGGGCAAGAATCCGAAACGTCAGGTCAATTAACGCGA